ATCTAGAGCTGCCTAGGTAATTTATGATGCAAATTGGCACTTCTAAGAGTCACAAATCCATTTCATGCTCATTGGAGCTAAAAGAAAAAGCTTACTGGCTCAAGCAACCCAATAATGGAAAAGTGCATTGGTGGAATTGATCTTGGGAAGGAAGGCATCCAGGGATTGGTACCCTCCCAGGCTTTGCCTCTTTTATTTCCTCCCTCCATCTTTCTCTCTCTCTTCTCCATCATATGCACACGCGCATACACACACACACACACACACACACACAGACACACACACATTCTTCTCTCCTCTTCTCTGTGGGTTTATTTTTTTCTGTCTCATCGCTTCTCTGTGGCAAGGGGACATGGCTGTGAAGCTTACATTCTTATAGCCATCCACAAAGGAGAGTAGGGAGTCTTTCCCATTTGCTCCAGGTTGGAAAAAGAAAAAAATCTCAGGTAGCCTAGCCTGAACCATGTGCCTAATTAATATACCAATCCATGCAGCCCAGGCAGAGTATGTGCGTGAAGTGCTCTTGTTAGCACAGCCTGGGTTGGATGTCCATCTCCATCCTCAGGATGGGAGAGCTTGACTGCTAAGAAACCTTGTGGTTGGAGGGGGTGAAGAGGACTTTCCTAAAGGAAGGGGGTGATACCTGCAGAAGAATGAAAAGAAAGGCACCAGACAATTTAAAAGATGTCTACCCCTGCATTGTTCCGTTTACCAGCATCCTTAAGTATAAAGCAATGGAATGAACTCACTCTGCGGCAGACGACTTCTCCTGCTTCTGCTAGACTGGCTTTCAGGAAGCATTCTGAATCTGTCACATAAACCTGGCAGATACTGATAAACACCAGGCATTTTCACTTTAGTTCATGCCAGACCTGGAGAAGAGAGCCTCTCTGCTCACCGAATGAAAGCCAGCGTGCCATCCTTGGCCAGGTCTCTTCCTCTGCCACGTTAGCTTTTCTTTCTCCCCTAGTGGACTTCAGGCTCCTTGAGGATAACACCCATGCCTTATTCCTAGTTGTCTTCCCAGCACATGGCACATAGCTGATGCTCAAGGAGTGTTTATTAAGGAAATCAATGAGTAGTTGACTAGGTCAGCAGCAAAATGGATGGACCACAAGTCTTGTGCTGTTATGCTCTCTGGGGTCACACCTTAGGGCTGGCCATGTTGCCAACTGGTGCCATCAGTGGGAAACTAATAAAGCATTAAGAAGTAGGCCTGGCATGGCTGCATGGACCTTGCACATGAGTTCAAATGCATATTCATATGAGCCTACATGCATGATTAACTTGGGAAGCTGACAGGAAGCAGTCAATCTGTTGAGCAAGTTTGTGTTTTATAAACCAGATGTTCAGTATTATTATTCATCATTTCCTTTGATACCAGAACGCTCCCCATTATGTAGCATGGGAAATGAAGGATATGGAATAATATACACTTATTATACAACAGAGCACCACAACCACAGATTTCAGAGGCCTGCTCAAAGCCTGGGCAAGTGTAATTGCACAGCAGTTCATTTTAAGATTCCCACTTAGACTTAAGTTAATGGGATTTTGCCCAGATGGACCATGATGACCCCCGTCTCCTGCTCCTACCCCTTGGAAAATGAATGTTGACTCTACGTCTGCGTTTTTCTTGGAAGCCACATGTATGAATCATAAGCAGCACTCTTGCCTCAGTAGCAGCTACAGGTTGGGGGGCCACAGAAAAGCAGGGACTCCTAGAGTGTTGGGGGACAGAGGGTTTCTGGCCATAGAAGTTATTCTGCTTGGTGGTCTGGAAAAACAAAACAAAACTTGCCATTGATTGCTATTTCCTATGGCAAGAGTACAGAATGTCTTTCAATCATAAAGTGCTTACAGTGCAAATGAACTTGCAAATTGATGTGCCTTCTCCTTGAAGTAGTTAAGATTCACAGAGTCCAGACCTGTAGGGACTGGGAATGATGGAGCTGGTGGGTGCAGAAGAGAGTCTTAATTTTGTGCAAATGGTATTTCTGTGTTCCTGCCAACCCTTGTTGCCATAATGATGGACTGGTATACATGGGAAAGCCTACAGGTTAGTATTCTGGCCAAGCCAGTTCAAATTTGGGCCAGAACTGCCCCTAGGGGAGGTACGTGAGATCATAGGCCCACATGTGAACAGTTGCCAGACTGAACTCACTGCATTTCCTTTGTTTACCTGGGGCTGGTTACAAATGAATGGTTTCAGCACAAATGCAATATTATGGGTTTCTTATTTAAAGTAATGATGCAGTAATGACATTTGGAATTGGCTCCTGAGTGAAGTTGATACTATATTCTGGCTTAATATTTTGAAGTTAGTTTCTCATGATCTTGCGTTTGTGCCAGGACAATTACTAGCGATTTATAACTGATTTTTACTGGTTGCAGGAAAAAGGCTTCATTTCTCATTATTGTCAATGGTATGTTTTGATTTCATCCATGATACATGTTGGCATTGCTTGAAATTTGATTTGAGTTGCAAAGTGGAAGTTGTCCAGGGTTATGGATCAGCTCAAATCAGTTTTCTTTATAGCATTAACGATTAATCAAGGAGTCACAATATGGGAAGACTTTTAATTCTAAGAGAACTGTTTACCATGGGCTGGTTCTGCCTTTGAAAATGGCCTTGCAGGTTTCCAGTGGTTGCTGTAGTATGCTTTGAGTATTTTAAGCAAGATGTTAGAACCATGTTTCCAAAAAACTGTTATATACTATATATCCTGGCTGATTTGGCTCTTGGCAACACTGACTGTCAGCATCATCTCATAGTTAATATTTTTTGATTATTATATTGATGAATTAAATTTGTTTACATATTCTTACACCCAAATTAAGATACCCAAAATAATCAGTTACATGATTACCATATATATTATTGGTTGTGATTCTCTAGAGATAGCCTATAGAGGTAGAGATAGGCTATACAGATAGGGTGGGGAGGAATTTAGTTTAAGGAATTGGGTTACACAATTGTGGGGCTGGCAAGTCTGAAATCTATAAGGCAGGCAGGCTGGAAAGTCTAGCAAGAGTTGATGTTGCAGTCTTGCGTTTGAAAACAGTCTACAGACAGAATTCCTTCTTTTGAGGGAGGGGGACCTGTCTTTTCTCTTAAGCCCTTCAATGGAGTGGATGAGACCCACCCACATTATGGAGGATAATCTGCTTTACTCAGAGTCTACTGATTACACTGTTAGTCATATCTAAAAAACACCTTCCCAGCAACATCTAGACTGGTAGTTGCTCAGACAGCTAAGCATGATGGCCTAGCCAAATTGACACATAAAATTAACCATGTCACCGTGAGTTCCCAGTCCTAGATAGACCAGGAGATTCTTGCCTCATTTTGCTTGACGTGGAAGACTATAGGGCTATCTTGATATTCATGTAAAACCAGTAAAGACATGGCCCCTCCACCCCTGTTGGGAGTTTTTTTCCAACACCTGCCAGCTTCTCTTCAGCCGTCATGATTATTGATGGAAGTGAAGTGGAAAGGATTGCCTTCTACCAAAGCTTCTTGCATTTTAACATACATACTAATCATTAAAATAATTATTCACATTCAGAGGGTCTGGAATGGGGCCTGAGACGAACAAGGACTTGGGTGCTGCAGGTGCTGCTGTCCTACGTACTACATTATAATAGTGACACCCCACAGCTGTAATAATCTATGAGAAGAACAAGGCAAAAGACAGACTAAATGTAATGACTTTTACTCAAGAGACCAGCCAGTCAATGGGGGCTTCAAACACTTAGATTTTAGGATCTTCTCTTTATAATGCCTCTTCCCAAGTAGACTGAAGTAGCAACACCTGATTATTCTGTGGAACTAAAGCTATGGAAAAGAAGTGTCCAAACATCAGAAGACAACCCTAGATTGAAGGTAGCTGATTCTAGTTCACAGATTACTTTACTTGGGACTTGAACAGGCTGCGAAGGCAGAAGGACTTGCCTGGTCAGTTTTGGTGCCTCTCAGCAGTGCCTCCAGCCTTAATCTCATTTTGGGCTTTGCTACTTACTAGCTGTGTAACCTTAAAGGCAGAAAAAAGAAGCTGGCATCCTTTGAGCATTACCATATGCCAGGTACCATGCTGGGCATTTTTCTGTTTTATCTTCATGGCAACACTGCTGGGAAATAGTGGGCATTATTTCATATGAGTATGTGGAGACTTCACTAGTGCAGTTAGGAAAGATTCAAAGCTGAGATTTAGAATCAGATTTGTATTGGGCCAAAGCCTACCTACCATGTTCCAAGACCCTATTTCCCTATTTGTTTGGGACAGAGTAGGGGCTTGTCTCCCCACACTATGTGAGAAGCGGGTGCAATGTTGTGTCTCCAACCCAATTTAGAGGTTTACAGAGGTGGATCACATGCTGTATTCCAAGAGCCATTCTTATAAGAAAAATGATTACGTTCTTCATGATGATTTTAGAAGTCAGATGATAAAGTTTTTTTTTTTTTAATTTACTTTTGTTTTATTTATTTTCCATCTGGAACTGGCATTCAGAGATCCAGAGAGGTAAAAGGGCCTCAACTGGTTACCTTGGGGGAAATAAATGCTTCAGATTCTGTCATTTTTAGCAGGGGCAACTCACCAGACCCCTTATGTGCATGCTTTCTGATCCTCAATATTTGGATTAAGGAGAAGCACTCTTAAGAAACATAAATGTCTGGGAGGTAAAACAGTAAAATAAACCTGTGCTAATAAAATAAAATGAGTCAGGAAGATCCAAACAAGCTTCTATTTGAACCAGAGAACAGATCGGCTGGAGTGACTAAGGACAACTGATTTTGTTCCCCCAGCAGGGAGCTGGGACTGTCCTCTGCAAATCCAGGTGGAGAGTCATTGTGCTCCCTCCTCCACTAAAGGCTTGGGCGGGCACTGGTCCATCTCAACAGCCCCTGTTCTGGAAAGGACATGGTTGTCAAGGGGGTGGCCTCCAGAACTGTGGCTTCCAGATCGTTCTCTGGTAACTGGCTTTTCTCTCCCATCCAGCTGACTGATGATCAGGGCCTCGTCCTGATGACCACTGTAGCCATGCCTGTGTTTAGTAAGCAGAACGAAACCGTGAGTACAGTGGCTGCGCTTCCTGCTTGATGCTAGGAGGTGGTTTTCTCAGATCCCCTGACTCCAGCTCTGGTGACTTGTGTTTTTTAAGCATAGGATGTATGTCATTTTTCCTTAGTGTTTGATCTTGCTGTTAGAATCACCAAATCAAAAACAGATAACAGGAACCCAAGCTGGCATCATTTTAGAGTTTGCAGCACCTTTCCAAAGTTTAGATATTAGAGGACCGGAGGAGGAAAAGCCCCAGGGACCCTCCTTGATGATGGTGCACTGACCACTCCCACGTATAGTTACCAGCCTTTGATTAGTTTCCTAGGGCTGTTGGGAATGAAGTGCCACAAATTTCTATCTTAAAAAAATAGAAATTTCTCCTCTGACAATTCTAGAGCCTGCAAGTCTGAAATCAAGATGTCAGCAGGGCCATGCTCCCTCTGAAGTTTCTAGGGAAGAATTTCCCTTTGCCTCTTTCAGCTTCGTGGAGCCCCAGGCATTCCTTGGCTTGTGGCAGTGTGACTCCAATCCCCGCCTCTGTTTTCACTTGGCCCGTTCCGCTTATGTGTGTCTCTGTGTCCTTCTCTCTTATAAGGAAGCCAGTCATGGGATTTAGGGTCCACCCAAAAACCAGGGTGATTTTATCTCAAGATCCTTAACAATTACATCTACAAAGATGTTATTTCCAAGAGGCATTACATTCTGAGGTTCTGGGTAGACATGAACTTGGGGGGACACTTTTCAACCCACCACAAGCCTTTCTGACATTGGAAAGTTTTAGCAAATCGCAGTGGCCACCTGCCTTGGAAATTGATGCTCTGGAGGCCTGTTCCTCCACCTTGGTCCTCGGTCGGTAACGGTGTTAGGGTTATGACATCTTTCTCTGGCTATTTCATCTCTCTCTCCTGGGCACCAGGTGGCAGTGTAAATTGAGAAAGCAGTTAACATGCTGTCTTTCCTGTAAAAAGCTTTCATAAGAGAAACTGGTGAATGTTTAGAGACCTTAGCTGTAGAAACTATTATGTTTCTTCAAATCAATGTTTAATTTTCAGGAGAGAAGAGGGAGGCTATTATAGCGTCTTGCTCTGAGTGTGCTTTGGGAACTGTAGTAGTTAATGGTTGGCCTGAGAAACTCTTACTTTACCCAGTAACATTTTGGGCGGAGGGTGGGGGATAGAAGAGACTGTTCTTGGAGATCTGGGTTAATCCTCAATCTCTATCATTTGGGGAAGGCACCAGGCAGTGATCCACAATATGTGACTTCTCATGAGATTCTATTTCTTTTGCCAAGTTAACTTACTGTTATTATAATCCAATGTTTATTTTCAACAGAGATCGAAGGGCATTCTCCTAGGAGTGGTTGGCACAGATGTCCCAGTGAAAGAACTTCTGAAGACCATCCCCAAATACAAGGTAATGCATGACCTAATTACTAAAGTCAGAGCCACAGAGACACCCAGAGCCTTGTTTTCACAAAATTCAGGCTTCAAGCTCTGCTTCCCTTTGCAGTGATGTGTTTGCTCACCACAATTACAACCTGTTAGCTTGTCTTTGTACCATCTGCACAGTTATTTAAAAGGTTTCTATTATTATTATTTACAATGACTTTCTGTTTTCCTTATTTGCCTCCTCCCAGTTTAAAGAATCAATGTGATATTGTAAATTTTGATGTGATCATCGAATTTTTCTGATACACACAGGATATTGACATGACTGGTTTGCCTTTTAAAAAGATAGTCCAGAGTGTTCTTAGCATCCCCCCACCCAGAAAACTCTCCTATTTCCTAGTGGGGTCTCTTTGGAAAAACACATCAAAAAGTGGGAGGGGGATGCCCTTGAGCACAACCCAGGTACACAGCACTGCCCAAGAGTGCTCTGTGCCCTGAGTGTAGCCGTGAGCATGTGCATGCCAGAGGCATCAGAGAGTAGCCCCCACCAGGTCTGGTTGCTTCACTGGACAAAGGGCTCCACTGGATGCACAGGGGCAAACACCACATCCACCCCCTCCTTCCCCAGCACCAAGCAGACTGGCTAGCTGGTCTCCATTTCTGGCCCACTCAGATTAATGAGTCCCCATCTGGAGGGATGCCAGGAATCAGGGGTTATTGACTGCCAGGGGCTTCTTTCTTAGCACCACCCTCCCTGATGTGTTGGGGCCTGATGTCCCACAGCTGTGAGGGGCCCCTGGGCTTTCCTGGGCATCAGGTAGAGGCAGGCAGTGTTTAGAGCTCGGCTCTGCAGGTTCCTGGCTCCATCATTGATGAGGTGGGTGTGGACAAGTCCCTCAAATCCCTCATTCCCCGTCTGTCAAATGGTGACCACCAGCTTTATCCACCAGGGCTTTTATAATCGGGGTTAAGTTCCCAGAGGCATGATAGGACATTTTATTGATCCAAACCCACATAATCAGTGTTGGAAACTGTAGTTCCTAAGAAACTGAAAGTCAAGAGCGGAGATGAAGGAAGACTTTGAGGCCCTTAAAGATAGTGGACCTTACTTTGGTTGAAATCGCCAGACCTAGGTGTGCAGAACTGCTGGCTCGCGGTTTCAGGAAAGGCATCCTACCTGTAGAGACTGTTTCCAAACAATTCTTAAGCCTCTTACTTCACATGAGGAGATTTAGAAACCCAAGCACAGGGCCACCACTTGATATGTGTCCAATAAATCAAGAAAGGAGGAACGTGGCAGGGAACCAGTAACAATGACCCTTTGTGTCAGTTTCTCCAAACTTCCTCTACCAGGCAACATGCAAAGCTCTTTATGGCATTATCTCGCTTACTAAGGAGATATTATAGTCACCCCCATTTTATAGTTAAAGAAACTGAGGCATGGAAAGCTTAAATATCTTGCCAAATGTCACACCTTGCAAACAGGAGAGCCATGATTTTAACCTCTGTAACCCCAACGCTACCAAGAACAATAAGAGCAATGACAATCATAATAGTAACAGTGAAAATAAAATCATAATAATAACTAAAATATACTAAAACACTTATTGAACTTCTTACTGTGTGCTTAGTGTTGTCTAAAGTACTTCACATGCATTAGTCCTATTGATTTCTAACTACACACCCATGAAGTGGGGACCATTTGGCCTCATTTTTACTTAAGGATGTTTGAAATAACTTTCTCAATATCATTCTGCTAGTAACAGATGAAGGAAACAAAGCATATCAAGGGAATAGAGGAAGAAGTTTAGCTATAGAAAATTAACCAGCAGGGCTTGAAATGTAGGCATGTGCATTTTGTGCTTTTCCAAGGGTCAAGTTAGGAACCAGAGACACAGATATGGCATATGTTAACCAAAGGCATCCTTCCCTCTGGTTCCCATATAGAGCCTTGTGAAAGGTGTGCATGTCAGCCAGGGACAGCCATGGCCAAATGGGCCTCTCTCATCCAGGAGAGGAGAGCTCCAGGGAACAGAGTTCAGGTCACACCTTGCCCTCCCGATTAACACCTTGTAAAGATGAGTCAGCTCTTGGCTCTTGGGGTTTTTCCAGAAGATAGAATTCTTTCTTTTTCCCTTAGCTTCATAGATTTTCCCACAAGCAATCAGACTTCCTGTAATTTTTATTAAGAATTCCAGACACCCCAGCAATAATTTCCAGACACCACGACCTCTGTTAACATAACGAGCCATTTTATAATTGGGTTCACTTCATTAGCCCAGTCTCTCCAGTTGGAAGGGAAGTGCCTCCTTTCCCCAGGCTGTTGGACCATGCGGCTCCTGGTCTCCAGGAGAACACGCCTCGGGTCCAGGGCTCCTTTGGCAAGCCCAAGTGCTGGAAGGCCTTGTGTTCGATCTGTTCTCCATTACTCCAAGGGACTGCACATTAGAATGGACAGGAAGATTGGCTGTATTTTGGATGAAACAAAATGAGTGATTTCATCAGTGTATTGATTTGTGGCCAAAAACTAATGTTGGACATTGTCATATGATAAGTTTTTAATTATTTGAGAGGCTCATGCACAGAAGGTATTACATTTTGAGATGTGATCAGAGCTGCTCTTCTTAGGTGAACATTAGGATATAGCTATATGCCACCAACCAACACACAAAACATTCTGCTGTTGTTTTCTCAGAATGCTTACCTGGAAAGGATTTTAACCAGACAGTTTCGGAATATCAGGAAGACCTTCTCAGGTACAGGCTTGAGAAGGACTGTCTGTGCATCTGCTGGAGCAAATCGGCTTCTCCTTCTCAGCTCATTTTTGATATTGACTTTAGTTGGGAATTTCAGGATGAGCTAGGTAATATTTGAGTAAAGTGATACATGTCTTAAATGCACAAACTGTGAATGCCTACCTTGTGTCCCACCTTGTGCTAGGGACTGGAGAAGTCAAAGTTAAGTGAGGTGGCTCCTTTCCCACAAAGAGTTCATTCTGATGGAGGAGGTACTGCCTCCACTTCTTTCTTCTTCTTTTGTTCTTTTCTTTCTTTTCTTTTTTTTTTTTTTTGAGACAAGGTCTGGCCTCTATTACCCAGACTGGAGTACCATGGTGCGATCTTGGCTCACTGTAATGTCCGCCTTCCAGGTTCAAGCAATGCTCCTGCCTCAGCCTCTTGAGTATCTGGGATTACAGGCACCCACCATCATGCCTGGCTAATTTTTGTATGTTTAGTAGAAATGGGGTTTCACCATGTTATCCAGGCTGATCTTAAACTCCTGGCCTCAAGTGATCCTCCCACCTCAGCCTCCCAAAGTGCTGAGATTACAGGCACAAGCCACCACGACTGGCCACCTCCAGTTCTTTCTAGGACAAATCAGAGGAAGGAAAGAGAACTACCTAGGGTTGAGAGGCAGAAAAGTGAGTGTAGCTTTTTTTTTTTTTTTTTTTTTTTTTTCTGAGACGGACTCTCACTCTGTTGCTCAGACTGGAATGCAGCGGTGAATTCTCGGTTCTCCGCAACCTCTGCCTCCTGGGTTTAAGCGATTCTCCTACCTTAGCCTCCCAAGTAGCTGGGATTACAGGCATGTGCCACCATGCCTGGCTAATTTTTGTATTTTTAGTAGAGGCAGAGTTTCACCATGTTGGTCAGGCTAGTCTCGAACTCCTAACCTCAGGTGATCCACCTTGGCCTCTCAAAGTGTTGGGATTATAGGCATGAGCCACTGTGCCTGGCCAAATGTAGCATTTTCAGGTGCTAGGGTAAACATAGTGATGATGGGATGGAAAGGAAAAAGAAAAAGAGCAAGTCAGAAGGGCCTTGTTACAGGAGATGATCTAAGGCTGAGCTTATAGCATGGCTGAGGATTAGCCACAGGCAGAGGGGAGGGGGGATGCTGTGAGTGGCTGGCATGTGCGAGTAAAGGTCTGGCTGGGAGAGAAGACTGCAGGGGAGTCATTGCTCCCGTGCGCCCTGAGTGGCAGTGAGCGGAGGGAGATAGGGCTGGGTACCAGGTGGGGACTGGACCCCAGAGAGACCTGATGGGCAGGCCTGTGGATCTGTCTTCCACATGAAAGGGGTTGTTAGTGCCTGTTACAAAGGAAAGCAACATGGTCAGTTACCTGTGACTTGGATCAACCTGGTGGATGATTTTGTTGGGATCAAGCTCTGAGGCAGGAAGAAAGTCAGGACCATTGTGGAAATCTGTTGAATTAATAAAGCAGTGGTACGGTTGGGTAGCAGGGTTGAATTGGAGCAGACCTGGAAAAAGAACATTAGGAGAATTTCATACTACTGATGCTGTAGTTTCTAAGTGGGGGGGCTGTGTGGGTCGTGGTGCCGCCTACTGAGAGGGAGGAGGAGGAGGAAGAGCAGCTTCAGAGGAACTGCGCTGTGACTGGGTGTGAGGTGCCAGAGGGATGGCCAAGAAGAGATGACCACTACCCTTCTGGATACTTGGATTGCCACTGAAGGGAGAGACCAAGGCCAGAGCAGGGATCTAAAGAGCAACAGCACAGAGGTGGTCGCTGCCACTTATTGAGGGAGAGGACAGCTAAGACAGACAAGGGCTACTGGGGACAGAATCTCAGGGAAAATGAGTACTTGAGGAATGAGTGAAGGACAAAGATCCTATGAAGAGGAGGAGTATGGGACCCGGAAACTGAGGGAATAATGTGGAGGAAGCAATGAACTAACAAAAGCAGGAAGATTCAGGGGAGGAAACCCTATAGGGTGTGGCAGTGAAGAGACCACTGCAACCATAGAGAAAGAATTTCCATGGCATGTTTGGTGGTGGAGGGAGGGCAAAGGCAGAGTGCAGTGGGGCGAGGCATGAAGGGGCAATAAGGAAACGGAGGTGGCAGTCAGACAATGAAGGCAGGACATTGGGACAGGGAGATGAGCTCAGCTTCTGCCTTCTGGGGGACAAGGCGGAGAGTTTAGCTGAGCTGCATAGAATCTACACGAAATGCAGCTTCTTTTATTGTTTCCCTACTTCCATCTTTTTCTCTTTCTTCTTCCCCTACCCAGCTTCTCTCCATCCCAACCACCCCGCCATATATTTTTAACTACATGGTAGGACCTTTTCCCTCATGGAACTTTCATTCTGTTAGGAGATGCACACATGAAATAATCAAAAGTCTTGATTACGTATACTCAGCCTCACCAAGAATCGATTTTTATAATTTTGATAAGTACTATAAAAGAAAACTACAGCCTTAATAGGAGTCCTGACTTCTTTTGAGTATTTCTTCTCATAAGCACAAGAAGAACCCAAGTAATATACATTAAGAAGGTGCTGAATACATGAGCTGACTATAAAATATTATTTGTTTTGTTTAATTTTGAGTTCAAATTCCCAATCAAGTATCATTTTTGCCTTTAATGGAAAAAGCCAAACTCACAGAGTTATTTTTTTTTTGACCCTTCTAGTCCATCTTAAACTGAAACATAATAATGGTAATTAATGCAGTGTTGATGGTGTCTGACATTTTTCCAAGAGACAAGATGAAAGAGACGATATACATCTCAAAGGATAGGAAATCTCTGGTTTATCTTTCACAACATAATGAAATATACTTTTATCATTAGATTCAAGTAGAATCTTATTAAGACTTGCTGTGCAAGGTAACTCCAAGAGAAGACGTCTGTTGCCCTTGACTACCACCTGCATATTTGCTTTATGTAATGCAACGGAAACTTTTAATTGCCAGTGTTAAATTCTCTGAAGTTAATTTCACATCACCTTGACGTTAAGCTAACAAGCAGACAGGGTCATTCCTGGTTTGTAAACTCTGTTGTCTGGATCATTTAATAGTATCATATTCAAGAATGTGAGTGGCAGAGAATTTAAAGAAAATTAACAGTGGGGCTCAGAACTGTGAAGTAACTCCTCAGGAAAAAAAAAAATAGAGGATTTCTTTTTTCTTCTCCCCTTTCACTGCTCTGGCAAAACTGGGTTACATTTTCTTTCTTCAGAGAGACAGATCAGTATGGGTTTTATGCCAGAGGCCGTTTTAATACATGAATGATTTGTAGGTAAATTTATTGTAGCCAATGGGTGCAGTCAACTGTGTAATAGAAATATTGTCAAAAAGCCGGGATTATTATTTAAATAAGTGCAGTGTTAAATTTGATTACATACTTTTTAAAGCTAATAAAACATTTCATTGCTCACAAACTATTTCCCATAGTCCCATTTAGTCAGAAAACATAAATTAAGTGAGGCTCTGCATAGAAAATTACCCGGGCTTTGTGTTGATGGAAGCATGTGTGGAAAAGCTAGGCAGCCACACAATTCGAAGACGAAAGGATATGAAAAGGGTTGCCAGGCTCCTGTGTAGGCTGGGGCAGGGGTGGGGAAATACTTTATCTTTGAAGAAATATGGAAAATGGCAGCCTGGGGGAGAGCCAATTTGAGATGGCCCCTGTGGGCGTGAAATTATAGGAAGTCTAGGAGTGAGGCTGCGTGGGGACCCCTCTTTCCTTATTTCAGGCAGAGAGAAGACACCACCATTGATAAAGCTCTGTGCACTTGAACATAGGGTCTTTCCAGAAACATTAGCCATTTCTTGTTTAAAAAAAAAAAAAGTAATTGTTTTTGTTTTAAATAAATCAGAATAAAGCCCTTGGATGCCAATGTGGGGAGGTGACATTTTGAATTGTGCTATTTATTGAGCTTATCCTGTGACAGGTCTTCATTTCCACCAAATGTCAGGGATCAGTGCCTTGCATTCATTTTAATGAAATATTGTGCTGATAAGGGTTATGAATGCCAAGTTTAAGCTGTAAATTACTAAATGCCGAGCCGCTTTATGCTTTGTGAATTTCACCAGGGAGCACGCTAATGAAGGTTTCTTTCTTGCTTCCTCTTACAGTTAGGGATTCACGGTTATGCCTTTGCAATCACAAATAATGGATATATCCTGACGCATCCAGAACTCAGGCCGCTGGTAAGAGAAATTATGTATTTCTGCATTTCTTCTTTTATCATTTTAAAAGATTTCCTTCAATTCAACAATGATGACACTTTGCTGCAGTTTTCACTTTTAAAAAGCTGTTCAATTCATAGCATTGTAAAGATTATTACAGCATTTATAACTGGTATTTTGACACCTACTGTTGGATAAATATATTTACCATCATGCTTTCATATATAAAGCCATATATGGCTATATGCATTTACTTATTTAGCTGTCTCACATCTGCCAACATATGGAAAGTTTTTTTTTAACTCTAGACAGCATGAAAGCTATCATAACAGGTCCCTGTATGTAATACATAGACACTCATACTCTGGCTCTAGACCCACTTACTCCAACTCTAATTTGATGCAACAAATTAGACCCAAGATCCCTGAAAACTTATTACAATGGGATTTGCCCCCACATTACACTGCTTAAGCCTCATGCATAGAAGCCATTCAACAGCTTTTTTGTTAAATTGAAGCAGCTGAGATTTTTCTCTATTTCCTGTCTACGTCATTGCTTGGTGAACCGATTTGTAAGCCACTTTTCATTCTCTCAACATTGTTTTTACTCTCTCTGAAGTGAGTGGGGTTAGGAGAAATCCAAAATAGCCCATGGTAGCGTCAACCCACATCCCTGGGCAAGGCTGCCCGGAGCACTGTGTTGAGGAGGATCCTGAGCTGGCGGCCAGGCCTCTCGGGTCGGTTCCTAATCCACTGACAGGTGCCTCCTGTGGGCTCTAGAGAGGCATTGGCCATGAGGGTACCATGCGTTTGCCACCCCCGGACTAGTTGCAGTGTGTTGAAAAAAGTGCATCCCTTTGGGTTTGCGTGTGTTTATCTAATTTTTTAAAAAGATATAGAAGTATAAACAGTAACACAGTGAACAGTGTTTTTTAAAGTTAAGAAAGTATAGATTATTTTCATTAGCAATCACTAAACACACACGTACCTATGTGCACACACACAAATGCACACATGCCCATCTATGCCACCCGTCTTTTCCCATTCATCAGAATGAGAAAGTAGTGGCAGCGCCTGCTATGCAAATGTTTGTTGGCAAAGCATTGTGGGGACCAGTTCACTTCTCGCTTGCATCATTGTTTAGAAGCAGTTCATGTGAGAGCTCCATCATCATCCAACTTTGCTCTAATCGCCCTGGTATTAATGGAATCATGACCACATCATGTGGATGCCATATGCATGCTTTAAGATGGGACTTATGGTAATACTCAATTTCAACAATCTTTTTATCAGAAAAAAACAAAATTAACTAGATGGCTAATTCCAAATGTAAGTCAGAAGTAATGAAAAGTCTGATTGAAAAAGCTGCTGTCTTTTTAAAGACATTTAAGTCTATGGACATATGGAAGTCTAAAACAATCTTAACACATTACCCATTCCCAGGTTGCCCAGTTGACATCACTGTTGGAAGGAGGAGAAGTTACTAGCTTGTGTGACTGAATATGGGCTCCTAGTATGTATTTATTCCAAATTGGAAAGGAACAGAGTCAATAAAATAATCAAACCTGAATCTCCTACCAGTAAATGGATTAATTTCCTATTTATCATTTCCTATCATTTAAAGGAAAAACAAAATGGAATCAGATGTCAGAAGTCACCAAGGTAGCATCCTTCTCTCTGTGTCAATGAAAATTTGCCACACAGTCGACTCACAGTGTGAACTGGTCCCCACAGTGCTTTGCCAACAAACATTTGCCTAGCAGTCTTTTATATCTCCTGGCCATGAAGCAAATGGTGTGTTTGTAAATAGCCCATCTGATGTACTCTCCAGAGCTTTGGCCACTGAGAGGGCGGCTGAAAGGCTCTTGGAAAAGCAGACCAACCCCATTGATGGTGTTCATCTCCTAAGAGTACAGATGCTTGTAAACACATGCCACTGCTGTTCTGTTGACACACCAAAAGTGGTGGTTGCTAGAGTCAGAAGTGGTGGTGGTTGCTAGGAATTCGGCCACGCCATACATGGTATAGCCCAAGCAAATGCCCCATGTTCTCTTTGTGAGAATCCAAACAGCATGAACCATGTTGTACTTGATCTATGACAAGAACATAAGGAATGATCAGACCAGTTGGTCATCTGTTCCATTCATCTGTCTCTGACCCTAAGGCCATCAGATACTTAGAAGTAGTTTAGGGTGATACCAACCATTAAGCATTACATGATCTGAATGTGGTCAGTAAGTGTACGTTGGCTCTCAATTGAGTTCTGCATTTTCTTTCTGAGCAAAAGACACAGCAAAGTGGGAGGGACTCACCTCCAGCGTCACACGGTGAAGCTCAACTCCTAGTCCTGCTACATCTGCACTGTGTGACTTTGGGCAAGTGACACAGGCTCTCTGAGCTGCACTTCTCTCTTATAATCCTGCCATAACCATAGTGCCTTGATCATAGCTTGTTGTCAGAGTGAATGAGATAATGCAAACAGAGGATCTGGTGCAGAAAAGCAGGCCCCAGGGTACCTCAGAGGCAGTAGTGGTTATTTGGATATCCTGTTTATGTTCTTTGTTTTCTGTTGTTCTGTCCTCAGCTTCTGTAAAGATGGGAAGAACATGGTGGTAATGGATGCTTAGAGAGGCAACCTAAAGAACACTTTTTGATTATTCAAGTGATTCAGGTTTTTGTGATAGACATTGGGAAGGGATCGGATACATATACCCTCAGTGTTCTTTTTGGTTCCGTGGCAAGCTTGGCCAACTGTGGTCTAGGGGACAAGCAGACAACTTGTACTCGATGTCTATGTGAGTCCTACCATGTGAAGAAACCAAGGTTGTTTGTTTCAAAGGTGGTGATAAGAATAGCACTAGAAGCCACAGTAGCTAAAGAATGATAGCTAAGAGCCAGCCAGCATGAATGCGCCATGGCTCTGGCATGCACAAGTTCTGTGTTTGTCTCTGTTTTGTTCACCTATCCCTGCTTCCCCTCCATCCTTTAACCACCAGTCCACTCAGCACAGAGTAGGGACTCAGTAGATGAGTAAGTGAAGGGATCCTCTAAAACCAGCTTCATTTTGACTTTAGGTTCTTCTGGAGGGTGTGAATGACTTGTGAACTTACCCTGGAAATCCAGTGTCTTCACGGGGCATAAATCCACCCTGGCCAGAGCTCTCAGGCATGGCTAGGAACAGCCAACTGCTAGCAGCTTCTCTGGCTAGCTCGGGGAGGGAATCCTCATTCAAACCCTGTTTGCCTCCTCCCAAGCCCAGCCATATAATCGAATCCTTATTACAAATGGACGTTCCCCTCAGTTCTGGCCAAGGCTGCCAGATTAGCACAGTGAGTGCGAGTGTGGGGTTGTGGCCAGCACGGGGAGGACAGGGCAAGCTGACTTAAAATAACTCCTGTTCCCTCTCCATCTGCCATGGAGTTTGTTTCAGCCCCTCCAGCCAGAGGAAAGAGGTGGGTTTCTCTGAAGCACAGTACCAATATTTTTCTGATTTGTCCTATAAAATCTTTCCCCTGAACTTGATGTTTGGCTTGATTTTATCCAGTATTTTCTTTAATCTTGTGTGATTTGGGTGTGAATCATGAAGTGTCTCCAAGAACAGCTCAGATGTAGGGGCCTTAGTCAGCGGACTCACTTTGGTTTAACCGGCAAAGCTGCTGAAGCAATACTCCTCTGCAATCTCTGGGGCCTCCTTACTCCTCCTCCGAGGGTTTCTCAACCACTCTGTCCTCACCACCAGCTTGTGACTTCCTGATACATTAACTGATGTTGGTTCAGCAAGCGTTGCCCTTGTGCCTGGTGTGGCTCGGTCCTATGTTAGACTGAAGACTGATACAGTCATCTTCAAGGGGGTCGGGGAACTGCACCATGAATGGGGGCTGGCACCTATTCTCAAGGTGGGGAATGGAACAACAGCACGGCAAGAGTGATTAAATGCGCTTGATCTTGAGAAACGCTTCGCGTCATCATGATGCGCCTGGAAGATTTGTTTGATCGTAACCGTTCTTTAACATTCAGGCTACAAGTATTTTAAGGTTTAGTTACAGACTAGATTTTGTTTTCTTGCTCTTTATATTTCTTTGTATTTGAGAGCTTTATGAATTTTTCTTAGAATATGGAGCCCTGAATAGATCTCCCTTTCTTTTTTTCTTTTTGATTATACTTTAAGTTCTGGGGTACTGATATAGAATGTGCAGGTTTGTTACACAGTATACACGTGCCGTGGTGGTTTGTGGCATCCTTTTGCCCAAATTGGAATGGGGGAGGTAGGACTGTGGAGGTGCAGCCTTTAGCATGATATGTATCTTTCTGGAGATTTTGGTCATCCACCTGTCCCTACCTTTTAGAATAAAGGGATAGCTAAGTTGATTTCCTTTCCCCAAGGAGGAGGTCTGGAATGCGGACCTGGTCAAACTGACGGGAGAACACAAAGGAGGTTCCTTTTCAGCAGCCGCCCGCAATGGCAGGGTTCCACAGAGGAGCCTCGGGCAGGCAAAATTTAGGGCTCATTTCCATAAAGCCTACATTGAAATTGGCCAAGAGCTGTTTTCTCTGTGTCTGCAAGCCCAGTAGATGGGGAAGGATCCTGAAGAGATTTCATTCGGGATGAAAATCTGCCAGTCACATGGGTCACATATGTGGTAGTAGATGAGATGGAAGGTAAAAATGATGGAGAGAAATTCACATTCTGTCCTTCAATACACACTGGACGTTCATTATGTTGGAGGCTCCAGCAAGCTGCTTGGAGAGGTCACAGAGGTGTGCCCTGCCTCAGATGACTCGAGGTCTAATAGGATGGATAAGATACGTGTATCAGTAACTGTGGACACCGAGCAGATGCACTTTTTATTTGTTGTTGTTGGTCTTAGTATATTTCTAACATTCACTGATTGCTTTTTATGGGATAGGAGCTAGTCTAAGTGTTTCACATGTGTTAATGCTTTTCGTCATTGACTGACTGAACAGCAAGGCTAGGATATTATGTGCCTTGGAAAGGCCTAGAAGCATAAGGGAAGGATGAAG